CAGTATATAGCGTATGCACTAGTGCAAGCACTAACAGGCTAAGCTGAGGTTCTTCTTCCATGAAGCAGCTCTGTTGTCCTCCATCTATATTTTCAGTTCCAGGCTGAGTCATTTCTACCTTCTCCTCTCTGTCAACGCTCTCTGGTTTCATTTAAAAGAGTCGATCATCAGATATCGTCCAAGATTAACCTTCAGGGTGGATATAGCTCGCTCACACAGAGGACCTATCCATGTCATCATTTACCCAGAATGCTGTAAATAAAATGGCCCCGTCCGTCTTAAAATATATTTTTTAAAAATTTACAAAACTGAACATCCTACAGTATTTTTACAGTTAAAATATGTGTTTATCGAATAAAGTCTAATGTTACAACTAAACAGGGATCCCTTTAAACCAGAATACTTCCTGTCCCGMCTCAGATTATCCATCTGTTTAGTCCTTCTTGGCTACATTTCTGCTTGTTCCTCTGCACGCAGAGCCAGGTCTGTGCCTTCAGCTGGCTTTGAAGCAGCTGCCTCCAGGGGTCCGTGTGGAGCCATGCAGCTCTGCTGTGCTACAGTTCAGTGTGGAAGAAATTGGCCAGCTAGTCCCACTGTTGCCCAACCCCTGCAMCCCCATCAGCACCACACGCTGGCAGACAGAGGACCTGGATGGTAACAAAGTTCTCTTTCAGGTAAGAGCAGCTTACTCTGTTATTTAATAAGTATTATTTGTAGATTGTTTGAGTTTTGTTACATCACACAGAACAACATGGAAAATACTCATTATATTACACAGCAAGGAAACTGTCAGTTTTAAAGGGGAGGTTTTCAAAATCAGCTTTTTTGAACTTTATATCATGTTATGATGTCATTCCCTCATCAAAAACATACTAATTAGTCAGGCTTACAGATCTGACTTTAACTAAAACTACATTTTCACAACTTGATGACTGGATCTGAGTTTTTGTAGCACAATAAGTGTTGTGGGATGTTTTCAGTGAACGGTGTATCAGTTAAAGCTTTTCCATTGAAAGACAGCCAAGATGAACTGATGGCACGTGAAGTAAATACTTCTAAATATTATATTTATACTACGCACTTCTGCTGTAGAGTAAGACGTGTTCCATGTTAATCCAAACCTGTTATTCAATGTGATCATATGTTTTAAAGACATACATTTTATCACTAAAGGCCCTGTCAAACTATACCGTTTTAGACAACTTATGCAAAATTTCCACTAAATCACTAATAAGTTAGAAATTAAATCAATTTATTGTCATTAAAATATGTATACACTTAAAAGGGCTTCCAGATGATAATTTTTAGTTCCATCTTTAACATAGAGGTCTCCAAACATTTCATAAATTGGCATAAATTGTCTACAACGTCCTAGTGTGTGGGCCTTTAGAGAGGAAAACATTAATATTCCATTAGCAGTGATGTTAACTTAAAAAGTGTGATGTGTTTGAATCTTCCAGAGAATCCACCTGTCAGATGTTTGCATGTCAGATCTGTCCAGTTTAACCTAATTCTTAGCCCTGTTGTAAATCCTAATCTCTCTCCTTGTTCTTTTATTCTGAAGGTGAAAACCYCACTCCAGCCTCAGCGACCCCTAACCTGTGCTTTCCCCCCGACCTGCCTGAACGTGTCCCCTCGCTCCGGACAGAACCACAGCCTGTCCTGGCAGTCCCACAGGCAAGGTCAGAGTCTGAACGTCTTCATTTCTGTTTATTATTAGACACACAGTTCATAACTATCATCAAATGATCATTTCTGTGGAAAACATAATATTCAAAACTAGAATCAGAACCAAAATACATTTTTAAAATGTTAGGTAAATAATGGTTTACAAGCAGTTAAACTGAATATTTTCTTATTCAGTTTCTTTAAGTGAATAACTTTTCCAGACAAAAACCTTTTTTYTGAATCTATTTTACCTTAAAAAATATAAATATGTTAGTGTTACACCATGAAATCTATTTTGCATTGTTTATATTGTTTGTTTAATGCAGTTTAAAATAATTCTTAGAAAGTAAAATTAAAGTATAAAATACTTGCAGTTTTTTTTTATTTAGACAAAAAACAAAACAATATTTAGTTTATTTGGTTTAGTCTAACCAATGTGAACATCTTAGGGCTGTGGCTCAGGTGAGTTGTGATTGGTTGTTGGCAGGAGGCAGACCGCGCAGCGAGCCCCTCCTGGAGAAGCTTTATGCAGGAGGTGGAGGAGCAGAGAGCCTGGGCTCAGGGAGCTGCTGCAGCACTCCTCCTGGAAGCTCCTGCTACTCGTCTCAGCGCAGCAGCCCAGCTCAGCTCTCGTCCTCCGCYCACCCCGACTCTCCCCTCCGCCCGTCCATCACCCGCTCTCTCTCCCGCCTCCTCCTGGAGGAGGACAAAGAGGAGTCGGAGACCAACGTGGACACGGGAGTCGCCGTCTCTCCTCTCTCGGATGACGCAGTGAAAGTGGCTGCCCGTTCCTCCTCCGTCCACCTTTTGACATCCGTTCCCTCCCAGAGACCTGCAGCTGTTGGAGCTTCATCGGTTGAGAACTTGGCCGAAGAGCTGRTTGAACGTTTGCCCCGGACTCACATGAGACCCCAGAAGCCCGCTGGGATGAGGGCTTCCGGTGTTTATGAGGAGGCAGCCTCAGAGAGCAGGACTACTGCTGAGCTGCAGACACCTCGCACCAACAATCAGGAGCCACTCCACGAGTTCTTCATCTGACTTCCTGCCTCCATGACGCAGGCTGTGATGATAATCAGAGGCTGCAGCAGAACCTGAAAACACTTGTTCCCTTATGTTCCACAACATAATAATAATTAGCCTGCTTAAAACCAGACCCTTGTCCTTCGGGAAACTAGAATTGAGCGGAACTGCGTAGGAAGGCAAGGGTCAGGCTAAATAATAATGGTCCAGTCCAAAAACCCAAACGAGAYTATGTCAAGATGAGTAATATTACAGAGTAAAGCTTGTTTTATATTTAGATTTGCTGTAATACAGTGTAGTCAGAGAAAAAAATATTTGTTAAACTGATGCAGTTTAGGAGTATAGTTTTTGTTTTTTTACTCAGCTAGGGTTTTAACTAAGTGGAAAACCCTGAAGTAACTTCAGCAGCCAGAATAAATAGTTTCAATTATTTAAAATGTTCACATGTGTTTAAAAGCTTTTAAGCATAGATAACACTGGGTCATTATGAAAGGAAAGATTTTTGTTTGTTTTTCTGCTCATGTTGAAAATCATGTAAACACAAAGCAATCATGTTTTAATTATTTTCTAACCAACTCTTAAAATTATGCAAAATAAAAAAAATCCTTGTAAATTAATGCTGTTTTTATATTAAATGTTTGGAACATTTTTAGTTTCAGTGACATTGGAGTCTGATTGTTTAATTCAGTGTTTCAACTCTAGTCCTCACACTGCCCTGCATGTTTTAGACGTTTCCCTGCTTCAACACAGCTGATTGCAATTGATAACTGATTGCAGTTCAACAAAAAACTGTCAATCATCTGAATCAGGTGTCAAAGCAGGGAAACCTCTAGAACACGCAGGGCAGTGTGCCTCGAGGCCCGGGGTTGAAAACCACTGGTTTAATGGTTCTTTTTCAATACTTTCCTAACCTCAAGATGTTTTCAGACGAGATTAAGGAAAACATCCGATGAAAGCAGGTGGTGATTTTTGTTTTTCTATTTTATTTTGTTATTTGATCTGATCAGACCACTCATGTCTCAGAAGAATGAGAATCATGAAATGTTAAAGAACCCCTTAACAGTCGCCCCTGAAATTCCTTAAAAGCCTTTCGACATTTTTAATTTTTTGTAAGGATGTCAAACTAAAGGTAAGAACCAGAGAAAGTTGTCTGACACCCTAGTTTTCAAAATAAAAGCTCCCAGTAGAACAAAGACTGTTAATTTTAGAATGTTTCTTTGATTTGTTTTTTTGTTCACACAGATTAGAAATCTTTAGGTTTTCTGCTCTTGCTGAGGCCAAACACAATCTACTTTCTCCCATGAAAAAATAACCTATAATACCAGTTTTTTTGTCAGATTATTTAAACTACATAAACAGGACTGTAATTACACATACACAGGGACGTAATTGCTCTCAGTAGTATAAATATGTGCTTGTAAATGTATAAACTTAGTGTTGGACTAGTCTGAGCCAGGCCACTGCTGCATTTAAATTCAATGTTTAAAGTTGATAAATCTCAGGTTCTTTAGTGTAAAATTGGAGTCTTATTGCACGTTTAATGTTCCAGCGCCCCCTGCGGGTCAGAGGAGGTGGTTGTTCTCTGGAATGTTGCTGCAGCCGGTCCAGCTCAAGTCCTGAGCCCACTGACCCACTCTGGTGACCCGAACCTTCACGGGGTCGAACCTCCAGAACTGCTGATCTCTGAACAGGTAGAGGCGTCCGTCCGTGTGGGTCAGCGCCCCGTTGGACCCCTGTGGAACCCCCTTCCAGTCCGTCAGTCTGCGGGGGTAGTAGGGTTCTTGGCGCAGAGTTTTCAGGTTGAGCACGTGGTAGCGGGCGCCCTTCAGGAGCACCATGTGACCCAGCGGGGCGTAATAAAAGGCGCAGTCGGGGTGGCGAGGAAACTCGCTGCTTTTTATGGGGAAACCCGGGTCCAGAACGCTGCCTGTGTAACGCCACATCCTCTTCCCTGAAAAACATGAAACGAGGAGGATAACTTTTCAAATGTAAAACAACGTAAAGTGCTTTCATTAAAAGTAATCRGTTCACAGAAGAGGCGGTGAGACTGCTCGGCCTCACTGTTTTATGAAAATGAGACATCCTGCATGTGAGCAGTGATTTATAGAGAAGAAATGATGCCTTGGCAGAGCATCAGTATAAAACTGTTCAGCAAACTGAATGAACTGTCAGGGTTTTGGCCCTCAGGAGGAAATTTAGCAACTTAAAACAATTTAATAACCTTCATCATAAAAGGATGACGCTAATTAAAATCCACAGCTGACGCCTCGGTGCAGCGTGTTCTTTACTAAAAATCACTTTGCTCCTTATAAAGCCCCACAATCTATTTTTGGGCTCTTTTTTTAAGTCCGACACGTGAAGCTGACCGCTGTGTTAGGGCAAAGTCTTTAAAAGGAAGCGAGAGTCTAATTAATGAGATCAGCGAAGCGGCACCTTTGAAAAAATACCACTTGGAGTCCAGCGGGGAGAAGGCGGCAGCCTCGATGGCCTGAGGGAGGTCGGGCCAGCGCTGACGGAGGGGCMGGGGGCCGCTCACGCTGCCTGCAGCCGACACCGTCCAGAACACGCTGCCTCGAAACACCAGGACAGTCCTGCTCTCATCTGGACACACGAGAAGCAACGAAAACTCAAGCATTTATTTTTCAAAGATTATCAAGCATAGACTTCAAAAGATGATGTCCACCTAACCAAGTTTTAAAATCTTATATCCAGCCAAAAMGTCTTTTTGATCTTGTTTTKAGACTGATTTACTAAACAAGAACTGATTGTCTAAGAATAATAATCTTGTTTTCAGAATGTGTAAGATTATTTGTCTTGTTAGCCTGAAAATTTGACTCAAATTAAGCAAAAAAATTCTGCCAGTGGAGTAAGAAAATTTTACTTGGTAAGATTCTTGAAATACTTGATTTGACTCATTTTTTTCTTATTATTTCAAGAATCTTACCAAGTAAAATTTTCTTACTCCACTGGCAGAAATTTCTGACTTAATTTGAGTCAAATTTTCAGACTAACAAGACAAATAATCTTACACATTCTGAAAACAAGATTATTATTCTTACACAATCAGTTCTTGTTTAGTAAATCAGTCTCAAAACAAGATCAAAAAGACTTTTTGGCTGGATATAAGATTTTAAAACTTGGTAAGATGGACAGTTTTTGCAGGCAGGTGGCCTTTTTTTTTTTGGCTGTACCCAGAGTGATGGCATCAAAGACCCCCTGACAGTAAAGAGGCAGCCCTGGGGTCTGAAGCTCCGTGAACTCCCACTCCTGCAGCGCGGCGTGCAGCACCTGACCCGGCAGCCTCACCAGGCGATTCCCCAGCGGTTTACCTGGATCATTTAAAAACACAGTTAACCTGAAGGACGTGGAAGTGGACTTAAAAAAAAAACACTCAGACTGTGAGGATTTCCATTAACGTTTAAACCTCACAGGGACCAAAACAAACAGATTCAGTGAATTACAGAAAATCTTTCATTCCCTATAAAGTGTTTTCTAAATGAGACAGTTTGGGAACAAAGATTAAACAGGACAGGCAGTCTTAAACAAGCCTGGGACAATGTTAACATTTAAATTGTCCTTTCCAGGATGTGGCCGGGCTCATGTACACTGACAGATAACATTATACAACACCGGAAATAAACACAAGGCGCATAGAGCGCACACTTAAACTAACCCAGACTGGATTTCATTTTAGTAATCCTAAAACAAAAACTCTCACTGCTGTCCTCGGCACCTGTCTGCAGACTGAACAACAAAACTGAGAGCTGGGGGGGGGGATGGCTTCAGACATGATTTGATGGAGCTTGACAAAGATTTGTGTTGGAGGAGGAGGAGGATAAAATCAGCTGCAGGAAAATTAGACACCACAGTGGATCAGAGCGTGAAGGGAAGATAAGGTCTGATTTCACTAAATGGAGGAACAGCTCCCACATTCTCATCAGGGAGAAGTAGAGCTGCAGACAGTACAGATCCTGTGTGTACTGTATTATACCGCTAAACTGAGCTAATTCATCATGTTTAAAAATAAAACATGTTGCGCTCCACATCCGCACAATCTGAGTTCTTTCATGAAGCTTGTTTCATTTCTGAAAGCTCAAGTCTGAGCGGGACGTGACCGGCTCCATCTTTGATTTATGATCAGAGGAAGCAGAAAGACGATGTCTCTTTCCAAAGTTCTCCATGAGTGCGTCGTGTCTGAGCTCGTGCCTGTCCGGTATTTTTTACCTGAGACTTTGAAAAACAACAACAACCCAACCAGACATTTAAAACAAAGACAATCAGAGACCGGTATAGTTTAAATTATACACTTTGCAAAGGGGAAGAAGTTCAGTGTACTTAACTTTAGCCAAGCTCAGAGAAGTTCTTCAAAACTTTGCGGATGTGATCTACCTTTATTCAAACACGTAGAGATTACGACACAACAAGTCATATCCAATCATAGTACAAATGCTATGTCACATCAGAGCAGAAAGACCAATCAGAAACTGGTTGCTGGGGCCCATTGCAGCTGGACAACTAGAAATTTTTTTTATCATGTTA